ATTGGATTTTCCCAGACTAAAACCTGGTGCTATTTTCAGCCTTAGTTCTCCAAATTCTCATCAGTTACAAGGCCATATTCTTCGGAATGTTCTCTGGCTTCTATTATTTATATAACAGATGTCATTCTATTGCTTTCTTTAATCTGCTAGTATCTTTTGGTTCTGAGAAACTTGCAGGACTGGCAAGACCCCTATTGGTTTCAGGCAGTCTTTTCTGTCCCTAGATTATGATGGAGATTGGCGTTGCCATCTTTTTGTTTTGATACGAAGGCTGATCATGATATCTGAGGGCTGAAAATGATCTTGAAAGGCCAGTCTATTATTTCATGCAAGTGTGTGAAATTCTTTTCAGCTAAAAGTTATTGACTAGTGTTAAATTTGTTAGGTAAATGGTTGGGGAACTATTAATAGAAATTTCCAGTTGATCAAAATAATACCACACAGACAATTTCTGGATGAACAGGGGATACGCTTACTGTATGTCTAGTGAGTGGATCAGACTTCATCCCTCAAACCTTTGGCTTATTTTAGCATTATAGCATTTATATCTGCTCAGCCATTTATCTGTCATGTGATGTGACATAAGGTGAGAGCACCATCTATGATGTATTTCAGCTAAAAAATATTTAACTTGATATCATTGAGCATTTGGATTTTTTAGATTAGTTTGTAGGTAATACTGGAGATAAAAATATCTATAAATAATACCACGAGGAAGCAGCCAGACAGTAGATAGGGTTCTTGTGCATTCTGCCCAGCCTGGCTTTGTCAATAAGTCAATGTCATAAGTTTAATGTTGTGCTAGATTCAAAGAGACTTAAGGGACAAATAATCAGATATAATGCATGGTCCTGAATTGGATACTGGTCTGAAATAAACAGTTGTATAGGAAATTTTGAGGATTAGGAAAATTTGGAAATTATTAGGGTGTTAACATGAAAATTTATTGAAATAGAGAAGTAGAGAATATTGATGTTAAAAGATCTGGTTACCAAAAAAACAAAAGAAAAAATGGAAATGTAAGTCTATACATAGAAAAAGATGTGAGGTATGTGTGCTGAAGTATCAGTGGTACTCTCTGGGTTATGAGAATGGGTTTTTAAAATTTATTTTAGGTTTTGCTTGTCTTTTCCTTCTAATTTTCATCAATGTACATGTCCTGGTTCAGTGTTAATAACAGCATATTTTTAAAAAGAGTCCATTCTAAATCATCCTGTACAATTGGGTTGTTTTAATACAGTTTACTAATTTTTTTCTCATAAAGGTTTTATAATCTTTGGGGTACTTCTTTCTTTAGATTCTACATGCATCTCTCTTTTAAAAAAATTAATATTTTATTGTAAAAAATTTTAAATACATTCAAGAGTAAAGTACCTGTGGTAATAATATAATGAATTTTTGTGTACCTGCCATCATCTGGCTTTAGCACTTATTAATTATGCACAATTGGTTTCTTTTCTACCATCCCTCACCATCAGTATTTTGAAGCAAATCCCACGGGTTCTAGCTTTTCATTCATAAATAGTTTAATATTTATTTCTAAAATATAAGAACATTTAAAAAGTCACAGTACCAAACAAATAAAATTAATTACTGTAGTCAAATATTCAGTCATTGTTCAGTTAGGGCACCCCCCCCGCCGCCCTGTCTCATTGTGATTATTTCTATTTCTCCTGGTAAGGTTATTGAAATCAGTGTCTAAATAAGTGCCATATATTATTGTGTATAATAAACTCTTTTATGTATAGGTTTCTCACCTCCCATCACATTTTTTTCCTTGTTGAAAAAAAAACTGGGCCTTTTATCTTCTAGAATTTTCCACATTGT